TTTTCAGTATTTTATAAATAGAATATATTTGAATTATATTTTTAAAATTATAATTGATTGGTTATTAAATAAAAAAATTTAAAATGAAATTTATTAAAAATTTATAAACTTTTATGCAATCTGAAAATCTTCAATTTTACTATATATTACTAAGTAAAATTTATAAAATCCGGAAATTTATTATAGGGTAGTGTATCTCCTGCAAGTGTTAAAGGTACAAGGAAGGGATTAAAGAAGGGAGATCAATGAAAAGAAGTTCACTATAGCGTATCTGTAATTTTTCACAATACTTATTGATTTCTGCATTATACTTAAGAGTGCTATATAGCATTTTTCAAGATCTTATAACTCACTTTTTTTAATGCACCATTCTCACTTAAGTCTTACAAGTCTTGTGAAATTCTATCTGAAGTCGAGAAATCATTACACTTAGAAGTAATATTCATACAATTCGCCTCAAGCTTATTCTTTATCTTATACATAGTGTTTCACACGAATTGGATCAGATCAGATTTGAGCAAAATCCAATTCGATCTGAATCTGAAAAATCCGAATCTGATTCAATCTGAATCTGTATCTGAATCTGACAAATCTGAATCTAAAAAATCTGAATCCGTATTCATATCTGATAGATCAAAAATTTTTTTTAACAAAAATCTGTCTATGACGTTCGAAACGGTATTTTAATGTTAAAAAAACAACAATTTTGTTGTTTTTTTAACAAAAATCCGCCTCTGACATTCGGAACAGCGTTTTAATGTTAAAAAATAACAATATTGTTGTTTTTTTAACAAAATCTGTCTCTGACGTTTGGAACAGCATTTTAATGTTAAAAAAAACAACAATTTGTTTTTTTTAACAAAAAATCCACCTCCAATGTTCAGATCAGCATTTTATTATTAAAATTTAATTTTTTTAATAATAAATGCTGCGTCTGACTTTTGGGTGGCATTTTTTTATAAAAAATTAATAAAAATTAATTTTTTATTAATAAATGTCGCATTTGACTTTCGGGGCAGCATTTTAATATAAAAATTAATAAAAATTTAATTGTTTTATTAATAAATGCTGCATCTGACTTTCAGGGCGGAATTTTTTTATTAAACATTAATTTATTTAATAATGAATGCCGTGTCCAACTTTCAGGGTAGCATTTTAATATAAAAAATTAATTGTTTTATTAATAAATGCCGCATCTAGTGATACCTGACTAAACTCTTTTTTGAAAAATTGTAATTTCATCAAAAATTTTGTCTCTGTAATATTTTTATATAAATAAATATAAAATTATTATATTTTTTAATGTATTTTAATTCAAGGAATTTAGATCAAATTAAATATAATTTTGGCAATTAAGTAAAATAATTTTGTCATTAATGAAAAACTAGTTTCGTCATTTCAGTTTCGTCAATTTCGTCATATTAAAAAAGGTAATTTCGTTAGGTATTACTAATCGCATCTGACTTTTGAGGCAGAATTTTTTAATAATAAATGCTGCGTTTGACTTTCAGGGTAGATAAAAATTAAATTTTTTATTAATAAATGCCGCATCCATCTTTTAAGGTGGAATTTTTTTAATAATAAATGCCACGTCCGACTTTCAGGGCAGTATTTTAATATAAAAAATCAATAAAAATTAAATTTTTTATTAATAAATGCTGTGTTCAACTTTTGGGGCGGCATTTTAATATATAAAAATTAAATTTTTTATTAATAAATGTCGCATCCGTCTTTCAGGGTGGCATTTTTATATAAAAAATTAATAAAAATTAATTTTTTTAATAATAAATGTTGCGTCTGACTTTCGTAGTGACATTTTAATATAAAAAATTAATAAAAATTAAATTTTTTATTAATAAATGTCGCATCCGACTTTTAGGGTAGCATTTTTATATAAAAATTAATAAAAATTAATTTTTTATTAATAATGCCACGTCTGACTTTCGGGGCGGTATTTTAATATAAAAAATTAATAAAAATTAAATTTTTTATTAATAAATGCCACATCCGTCTTTTAGGGCGGAATTTTTTTAATAATAAATGTCACATCTGACTTTTAGGGCAGTATTTTAATATAAAAAATTAATAAAAATTAAATTTTTTATTAATAAATGTCGTGTCCAACTTTTGGGACAGTATTTTAATATAAAAAATCAATAAAAATTAATTTTTTAATAATAAATGTCGCGTCTGACTTTTGGGGTGGCATTTTAATATAAAAATTAATAAAAATTAAATTTTTTATTAATAAATGCCACATCCATCTTTTAGGGCGGAATTTTTTTATTAATAAATGCCACGTCCAACTTTAAGGGCAGTATTTTAATATAAAAAATCAATAAAAATTAAATTTTTTATTAATAAATATCACATCTGTCTTTCAGAGCGGCATTTTTATATAAAAAATAAATAAAAATTAATTTTTTAATAATAAATGCTACGTCTGACTTTTGAGGTGGCATTTTAATATAAAATATTAATAAAAATTAATTTTTTATTAATAAATGCTACGTCTGACTTTCAGAGCGGCATTTTATTATTAAAATTTAATTTTTTTAATAATAAACACCGCATCCATCTTTCAGGGTAGCATTTTTATATAAAAAATTAATAAAAATTAATTTTTTTAATAATAAATGCTGCATCCGACTTTTGAAGCGGCATTTTAATATAAAAAATTAATAAAAATTAAATTTTTTATTAATAAATGCTTGCATTCAACTTTTGGGGTGACATTTTTATATAAAAATTAATAAAAATTAATTTTTTATATATAATGCCGCATCTGACTTTTGGGGCGGTATTTTAATATTAAAAATTAAATTTTTTATTAATAAATGCTGCATCTGTCTTTCAGAGTAGCATTTTTATATAAATAATTAATAAAAATTAATTTTTTATTAATAAATGCTGCGTCTGACTTTCAGGGCAGCATTTTATTATTAAAATTTAATTTTTTTAATAATAAATGCTGTATCTGACTTTTAGAGCGGCATTTTAATATAAAAAATTAATAAAAATTAATTTTTTTATTAATAAATGCCGTATCTGACTTTTGGGATGGCATTTTAATATAAAAAATCAATAAAAATTAAATTTTTTATTAATAAATACTGCATCTGACTTTCGGGGCTATAAAAATTAAATTTTTTATTAATAAATGCCGCATCTGTCTTTCAGAGTGGTATTTTTATATAAAAAATTAATAAAAATTAATTTTTATTAATAAATACCGCGTCCAACTTCAGGGTGGCATTTTTTATTTCAAATCCAACAAATCGAATATAAATTCAAATCTGAATCCGACGGATCAAATCTGAATCAAAATCTGAATCCGTCAGATTGAATCAGATTTTTTGCGGAACACTACTTATACATATTGATTGAAATAAAAAATTCCTTACCATTACATTCTAGTCTCAACTTCCGCTTTGATGCAAGCAAATCATAATTATATTTATCGAGAAGTATGTTTGGCAAAATTAGAATCAGCTTCCCTAATTGATTTTTGATTACTGTGAAATCAGAATATACAATACATTCAGGAGCAAAATATACAGGCACATTTCTAATTATACCAAGCAGTTCTATAGGAATTGTAACAATACCTTTAAGGTCATGTTTTTCATTCGTATCAATTTTTAGTTTTAGTCATTTGGCTTATACATGAAGTCGAAATGAAAATCCAAAAAGTCGAAATGTTTCGACTTTGGAGGTCAAAGTCAAAATGAAAGTCGAAATGGTCAAAATTACGTCATATCACATGATTTTTATATATAGAAAAAACAAAAAATACAAAAGATGTACGATCTCAGTCTATATTACTCCGATTCGTATGAAATAACTACCATTCGATTCCTTACGACTAGACGAATCCAATGAGTTAACATTCATTGATTATGGATCATTCCATCTCGAGATATTTGTGATCGTATTTCAAAATCTGGACTCCTTTATTTAAAGTAGAATTTATTGATTATAATTTCGGCCGATAATACAATTGCGAGTATCTCGTGATTGGATGATCCAAAATCAATGAATGTTAGCTCATTGGATTCGTCTAGTCGCGAGGAATCGAATGGTAGTTGTTTCATACGAATCGGTGCGATATTGACCGAGATCGTACATCTTTTGTATTTTTTGTTTTTTCTATATATAAAAATCATGTGATATGACGTAATTTCGACCATTTCGACTTTCATTTTGACTTTGACCTCCAAAGTCGAAACATTTCGACTTTTTGGGTTTTCATTTCGACTTCATGTATAGTTTAAACTCAAAATTAGTATTTAAAATTTAATTTTAACTATTAACATTAAACGATCAATAAATTGTCTGATTATTATAATAATCAATTAACTAAATTAACTTATTATTTATGCTTTATCTTTTCACATGATACTTGGACAAATTAATTTCTATTTTGTGCATGAAAATTTATTTATAGACGTAATACAAATCATTGTAAAATGTGCGGTGGAGTTTATGTTTTACTTAATATGTTTCACAATTATTTGACATTATTAATTAATCAGATCGTTTCAAATATGCAAATTTTTAATCATGAACGCCAATTTCTCATCTTGTGACTATATGATATAAAGTGCATTATTTATAAAGGATAATAATTTTTAATGTTAAAAGAATCTCATTGAAAATTTACTTTGATGAGCAATTTTTCGACCTTTGTTTTTTTTTTAACAATAATGACATTTGGCTTGGATTAGTTTGTTAGTTAGAATTTTTTTTAGTTTTAGTATCGCTAGTATTTTATCATTTATTAAATCAAAAGAAAACTCCTTTTTCAAATAAATAACTGATACTTTTACGAAGTGCTAAATTATTTTTTTTAACAAACAAATTACTAAGTTAAAATAAAATACTTTCCTTATTTTTAATTATAGTTTTCTTAGTAGATATACTTGCTATTCCTTTTTTTTATTGATGATATATATTTAGCTAAGACAATCATCTCATTTTACAAATTCGTATTTTTCACTATGTCTGATACAAACTTACAGGAAACTTTTGACAATTTTGATTATGTTCCTAACAATTATGATGAAGATTTATAGAGTATAGCTTTTGCTAAAAGTCTCACATCAGAAAGTGTTGTCGGAAGCATTAAAAGCAATAATAACAATGATTTATTAAATTATGATATAGAAATGCCTTTTCTTTTTAATAATGATAATTTTGAAAAAGCAAGTGAATTTGTAGAAAAGGACGTAAATAAGGATATATTTTTATTAAAAGATATTAATTATAATACTGATTTCGATACTTAAACAGATATTAACACATCAACTTCGATATTTAATTTAGAATCAATAATGTTAGAATCAACTTATGGAGATGAATATTTTATTAAAAATGCAACAAATGCCAGTAAATCATTATCGGCATGTCCAATTTTAGATGTTATTAATAGTTCCATCCAATACTGCTCAAATCATTTAGAAAGGCAGAGACCACTTTTCCAACTAATTGTGGCTTAGAAGATCAATCCAGAGATTTTTCAAATAGCATAAATAAATAACGATTTGTCAACAATAGGTATGTATCACTTGCATTTCCTTTATGATCAAAATCAACTTCATATTCTATGTATTAAGAATGTACGATCAATTGAAAAAAGTTTATTTTTTGTAGGTGTTGTTTATTTTGCAACAAATATAAGCATTTTTTTAGTCAGAGCAGAACTTGTATACAGCATTCGAGACATGTTTTTGAAAAAAATGTTCAAATTCCTTGTGCTGGATTTAGGGTTTGCCCTGTATTTAAACAGAAAATAGAATCAGAAAATATTATTAATAACAGTAATTAAGAATCTGAATACCAACCTAAATATATATGTTCAGAATGTTTTATTACTTTATTACACATAGTGGACATTTTTATGAGCGAAGAGATCATGGAAATATACCAAATTTTGAATATACAGATAAGCATAAAAGTGATTCAAGTGAAGCACTTCGAATTATGGGTCGCTGGATTTTATTTATAGCAGAAATTACTGATGAGAATAAAAAAATAATCTCTTAGTATGTTTAACTTCTATGCTTTCAATGTTTTATGATACCAAATCTTTAACAAATGCAGATTATCCTAACCTCCTTTTTGTTAAAATAGCTTTAAGGTTAGGACACTTTAGCATAACAAAACTTATGAATCAAAAATATGAATTCACTTCTGAAACAGCTACACATTTTGGCAAGGAATTGGCAACTATGACATGGAAAGCATGACATGAAGTACAAGAAAATAAAACCAAACTTGAAAATCCAAAGTCATTAATAGATTATCAGGATGGTTTTTCTTTATGTCTAGCAAATTTTTTCAAAGGACTTATTAAAACTCTACAAAAAAAAAAACATGAAATATTAACAAAAAAAGAAAGCAAAAGGGTCTTTCATTAAAGAATTTTGATACAGGCTGTATAAATAAAATAACTGTATTTCTTATCTCAATGGTATTAAATATTGCATTTTCAGGTACAAACATTTGGTTAACTCATATTATGAGCTCACTTTGCTGAAAACCAAAACTATATCCTTCCTTTATAATATACTTTGTATAGCGAACCTAGTATCTCATACGCATCGACATGAAAGATTGTTAGAAAAAGCTTATCAGCAAGGTGTAAAACCCAAAAGTAGACTATTATATGGTGCAAACATATGGAATGTATCAGTAATTGACAATATAGATTTTATATAACAAACTTTTTCATATTGAAATATTTTTGATACCACGTGTAGAAGCATATATGCTATTTTAAGGATGATGTTTTAATTTAATATGCTTATACAACTTCAATATTATAATCCAATAGATGTCAGAAGTTCTAATAGAGATGACCAATCTATATTTGGCACTTCAGCTTTCACAAATAACCTTTTTTCACTTTACGAGAAAACGTTTCAGGATTTTTTAACTATACGCATAGATGACTGGAATGCAGAAAGTATTCTTAAAAATATTGCTCAAAAAATACCATTAGAAAGTAATGTATCACAACCAAATGTTGTTGTTGTACTTAAGCCAGGTGACAATCTGAATTGCAATATAAATGTACATAATGCATGTGATTTATATTATGATGATGCAGGAATAAATAATACTGGCTGTCTATATATTGCATGCAATGAAACCATTTTTCATCGATTAATTTTGTATAAAGAAAACAATAGTGATAAGAAAGTAAGATTCCACTCCTTTTAGGCCAATGGCATATTTCTCGTAATATGTACATTGCATTAATAAATATTTTCTCAGTTATAGCATTGCTAATATGGCTGCAAATCTGAATATATGATTTCTAGATAAACTAGAAAAGTTGTAAACTACCAAGTTACATGTTGAGTTTTGGAATTAATTTGGGTTACTGTTAGAATTGCAATATTTAAGTATTTACGCAATAATAATCAAACTATAAATGATATTGAAAGTGTGAATAATAACATTCTTAAAGTTTGGTATTGTTATCTATGTTTGGCCAGTTATTGGATAGGATACAAAACAGGTATTAGATGAAAAAACTATGAAATGCAAATAAGGAATCTTGTGACATTTTCACCTATATTTCCAGTTGCCAGAAAGGACAATTATACCAGGTCAATTACATATTTTTTGTCATATATCAAAGATGATCTATATATTCAAAAATTGCTTAAATATGTTTATTCAGTAAACCTCACTGGTCCTAGACACTACTTCACATTTGATGAAGCATTGGAAAGGTTTGACGTCAAGTTCATAAAATAAATTATTGGAGAAAAAGCAATGAATAATAAAGAATTAAAGTTACAAATAAGCTCCATACAGTCAGAAAGAGAGCGATTAGATTTACTAATGTCAGAATATATATGTGATATAGTTGTAGCTAGAGAAGAATGAGCAGTAAAATTCCGAAAGAAAGTATTATGACAATTGGCTAATGAATTGCTTTCTGCTTTTTCTTTAATAGATCCAAAAACACATCAGCTTTTTTTAAATGCACAAGAAATAACTTCAATAGGGTTTTCAAAAATATTTACATGCTATAATCTTGGCATAGCCTAACTTATTGCAATTCAACATCAGGATGTTTATAAAATCAATTCTTGAAATACATAAGATCATCATAAACGAAATATAGTAGTGTGAATAAAATATGATAGGACTTATGTGATGTAAATGATCGACAAATCTGACAAATCTAACAAATCTAACATTTCTGACATGTCTGACATATATGATATGATATATTTGACATGATCAACAAATAAGATATATTAGATAGATTTGATATATATGACACATTGAACATATTTGACATATACGATATATTAGACATATTAGTTATATCTTTCTATATACTGTATTTTATATAAATAGATAGCTTTTTAGACCATGTAAAAAGTAGGATTTGACAAGTCAGTTTTCCAGTAGTTTTTAAGAGGCAAACAGGTCTATCGTATTACATTTTAGTTTAAATACTTCGTTTCTTTATTTACTTTTTCTTTTCTCTTGTCATATCTTTTATTCTCTTTATTTTTATTTCTTATCTTATCAATAAATATCTTATTTGAAAATACAATTACTCGATATCTCATAAATTGCTAATTGTAAAATACTCGTATAAACCTTTATTTGAAACCTTTGCCTGAATTTAGTCATGATGATAAACTTATAAAAGCATTAAAATTACTGTGCAATTAAAAAGAAATAACACTCTGACACTCTGTCTAACAGTTGTAGTTTGCAAGAATTACACGTTAATAATATTAAAATATTAAATATTAAAAAATCATTATTCAATAAAATAAATTTATACCTATAGTTTATTCTAACATGTTTATTCTAACATATGAAAGCTTGAACCAGTTTCAAACCTTCAGATTATAATAGCAACTTGAATTTTTATTTGTATTTGTTAATTTGATTGATATAATGAATGTTCAGCAAGATGATATAATAATAATTAAATGTAATACGAGTTATACGAAAATGACTTTTAAATGTATTATGTTCTGTATAAGATTGCTGGATGAAATCCAGAATTTAGACCGATGTCTAAATGGTAAAAGTAAAACTTGGTTAAATTATATTAAAACCTTATTAAAAAATCTGCGAAATTTGAAAAAAGGTAAAACTATATCAAAGCTTATAAAAATGGCGAAACTATATCAAACACTTAATAAAAATTTAGCGAAACTAAAGGTTTAGTTGTTTAATCAAATCTAAAATAAGTTTAGACAAGCAACCTTAGTTCTGTATCATCTTTTAAATTTGAAAAAACATTAATCCATTATCCTAATGTTTTAGGCTGTAATGTTTTGGCTATACAAATAATAGGAGTGGAATTATTTAATAGTAAAAGAAAAAAGTTTCGTCTAAAAAAGAATTAAAATAGTCAAAATCATCTTCAAATATCAAACTAATAGTTGCTATTTGAATAGCAATTAGCATTAAAAGAAGCTCTAATAATTTTCTTTTTTGTTTGAATTCATGATCGATAAAAAATCGTTAAATTTTTGATGACTATGAAGTTACTAAAATTGAATTTTTCGTGTTATCACTTAAGTTATGACATAAACTTTTTAGCCCTACTTAAGGTAAATGGATAAATCGATAAAAGCCAATAAAAATTTAGTACTGACTTTCTGGATCTTAGGATGAATGACTTAAAACATAAATGAGAATGGCTATTATTCATGTTACTTTGTATTATAGCTAAAACTGTAATACAAATAATCTATTAATTTTATTATTTTATTTATAAAATCAAACTAAATCTAAAAATTTGAGTAATAAATCATTAGAATTAAGTAATGATAATTGTAATGTATTAATTTTTAAGAATTAATTCAAGATATTGGATTTTCAAATATACTTAAAATTTGGTATATAACATATAGTCTTTATAAAAATAAATCTTTTAAATTATTTGCTATTCTTAATAATGAACCATATATATGTACATGTCTTTAAATTATTTTACATAGCTTAATTTGTCACCATTTTTAAGTTTTACAAATTTCAGATAAAGTTATTTTTGGTATATTTTTGATTGCTAGCAGATGATATAAAGAAATTACTGATTCTATTAATATTAAACATAAAATTATTAAGAAACTATAATATTTTAGCATTTAAATATTATTAGATTCAAATATAAAATTCATTCTGATAATAAGCATCAAGTTTTTAAGAGAAAAAAAAATATGAAAGATTTATAACAGATTTCTATTAATTGTGATGAAAATGAAGTCAAAATTTTCTTGAAAATTACATTTAACTAAAA